ATACTCATTTCATCAGTTAATGGATAGGTGCCAACAAAGTTCGCAGGAAGGTTTCTCTCTATATATCCATGGCTACTTTTGCTAACCATGGCGACATCTAGTGTGGGAGTAGGATGTCCCACATAGGAATCCCGAGGCTTTCTGATGGGGGTAGGTTGTCCGGTCTTTCCCCCTTGGGGACGCTAGGTGAGTATGAACCACCACCTTCTGGGTCAGTTGGCTAGTGCTGAACTGCTGTGCCAAAGTCAGTACAAGAGATGAGAGTTCAAAGACAACACCAGGTCTGCCAGGAAAGTCAAAGGAAGGGGCCACTTTGAAGTGTAAATTAGTGAGTTATAAACAATTTTGCATTCTCTTTCATAGTTGAGCATTTATGTAACTCAACGTAACTCATATTTAGCAATTCCATGTTTAGAAATATTAAATAAAGGTGTATACATTTAATTTAGGCGGCAAGCACAAGGGCAACTTTTGAAACAGCAAAAATCCAAAAGTAATTCAACTTTTAATACGCGAAAACTGAAAGCCAAAAAAAAAGAGAAAAAAATGCACTTTACACAATTGATGTGTGTATAGATTGTGATAAGAGTTGTATGAGCCCCTAATAAAATTATTTTTAAAAAATAACTGGAAAAATATAATCCGAGAGAGGATAGTGTTTTGTTGCCACTACTGTTTTAAATTTTTCTCTATATTTTAAATAATTTTCACATTTGTAAATTTTAGGTCCTAAACGGTGCTTGGATCATCATGGGAATGCAACAGATGAGTATATATGTCAAGTAATGGAATGTATTATAAAATATGTATCTCTAAAAATGGATAAATCACCACTACGTGGCCCAACATTGCCAGCTGTTATAAACATAATTCTGGTGAATAAAGATGACAAAATTACAGAATTGTATGATATCATGTTCTATAAAATTTAAGAGCAAGGAAACTTCAATTTACGATAATGGAGGATACATATGTAGATGATAAAACTTATAACGTATAGAACATAATAAATTTTACTAATTTTTATGTTTTAGAGGAAAAAGGCAGGGATGAACCAGCTTCATGGTCACCAAAAATGTCCTTTCTTTTAAATTGAGTCGTGGGCTCATGGGCATTCATTTTCTTATTTGGCTTCAGAGCTGAATTGATGCTATGAAAATATACATTTTAAAAATATTTAAAACAGGCAAAAAGAAGTCATAGTTCTGATCAGTAACACCCTGATCCCTAGGTGGTGGTCCTACACAGGACCACCACCACCACCGTCAGTGCTAGGGTCACACACATAAATTCTTCCCACCGATTAATTCAGATTACCAGCACCTCTGGCCTATGCTAAGGCTAGAGTCAGCTGGTCTCTTGTCCTACAATTTATTATCCATTTCATAGTCCATATGATCTTTCCAAAAAACAATTTGGATCATAGCATCCCTGTCATTTAACCCTTCAGATGATTTTTCATTGATCTTAGGATAAAGTAAAAATTCTTTGTACAGTATCCTATTTAGGGATCTGTTTATCTCACCAATATTATCTCTTCTTATTTTCCTCCTTTGCTTCAATTAGAATTCAGCTAACACTTTACCTTCTTGAGCAAATCTTTCTTTATCCTACTGAACAAGACCATGCACTTGTATTTTCTCAGTTTGGTTTTGTTTTTCCCATGTCATTCTCCAAGTACACTTATTTCCTTAGAGCTTTGTATACCCTGATGGGTGTTTACTTTTCAATACTGAGAGCAGTGCACAGTAGGTGCTTGTATTAGGATTTTCAGCAACTAAACAACACCGAGTGTTGCTGACCATTCAGGTAGTAATGCTGACAATTGCATATGATATATAATATATATAAATTATATATAAACACATGTAAAATATATAAGAAGAAGAAACTGTGAATGTATGGATACACTATATATGAGCTTCTTGTAAGGAGTGATTATATTTATCTTTGTAATTTTATTACATACCATATAGTCTATATAACTCTGGTGAATTCTTCATCAACATACTTGTGTTCAACTATGGTGGAGTCTATTCTATCTCGTATACTTCACAGTGAAGCCACAAAATGAAAACATCTGAGTTATACTCACCTTGTAAGATTTCAACTTTGCTTACTGAGTTAGCTATGATTATAGAAAGGAGCCCTGGTTGCATAGTGGTTTGACATTCAGCTACTAACCCCAAAGGTGGCAGTGGAAATCCACTGGAAAAAGATGTGGCAGTCTGTTTCTGCAAGCTTTAAAAATTCTATGGGATAGTTCTACCCTGTCCTGTAGTGTCACTATTAGTTGGGACTGACTGAGTAGCAATTGTTGATGATTACATGAAAGAGAATCTACCTGCAATAGATCCACGACTATACCAATATGGGGGAGAAAGTAGAACACAGGTTATATTTTCAGGATAGTGGTATCATTATAATACTCTTATGAAAGATACATGATATTCTGCATGTGTCAAACCCCCTGGAATGGAATAACACAAAAAGTGAATTCTAATGTAAACTACTGACTACAGTTAATAAGAATGTGTGAATTGTGTGATAAAGAAAGCTGATGGTACCTGGCTATCAAAAGATATAATGTCTGGTGTCTTAAAGGCCTGGAGATAAATAGGCGGGCATAGAGCCGCAACAAAGAGAAGCAACAAAGTCCATATGGAAGAAGAAGCCCACCAGTCTGTGTGATCACCTGGTGTCGATGGGCTCAGGTATCCGGCATCAAAGACCCAGAAGGAAAAATCCTATCAATGTGAATGAGGGGGAGTGCAGAGTGGAGACCCAAAGCCCATCTGTAGACAATTGGACACCCCCTTACTGAAGTGTCACAAAGAAGAGACAAGCCAATCACGGTGCACTATAGCACCGATGAAACATACAACTTTCTTCTAGTTCTTTAATGCTTCCTCCCCCACCCCCAACCCCCACTATCAATCATGATCTCAATTCTACCTTACAAATCTGGCTAGACCAGAGGATGTACACTGGTACAGATAGGAGCTGGAAACACAGAGAATCCAGGATAAACCCCTCAGGACCAATAATGAGAGTAGCAATACCAGGAGGGTAAGGGGAAGGTGGGGGGAGAAAGGGGGAACCGATCACAATGATCACATGGACAGCAGAGGAGTGGGTAAAGAGAGACATCGATCAGTGTCAGCCATGAAAAAATAATAACAATTTATAAATTATCAAGGGTTCATGAGAAGGGAGGGTTGGGGGGAAGGGAAAATGAGGAGCTGAGACCAAGGGCTCAAGTAGAAAGAAAATGTTTTGAAAATGATGATGGCAACAAAGGTTCAAATGTGCTTGACACAATGGATGTATGTACGGATTGTGATAAGAGCTGTGTGAGCCCTCCAAAAAATGATTTAAAACTAATAAGTACATAAATTAAAAAAAAGATAAAATAAGAATATGTGAATTGTATCAAATGTATCAGTCATATTTAACATACCTCACTAATACAAGAAATCTGCATGTTCTGTGTGATTTTTCTATAAACCTAAAATTGCTCTAAGAATAAAGTCTATTATCAAAAAACTGAGTTTGTTTAAAGACTCTAGAGGCCTTTGATCTAATAATTTAAAAACAAAACTCTGGCATGTATTGCTTTGCTGAATGAAAAAATGGAATGTAAGCAATTGTTAATTATTTTATTTGAAAATGAATCCACTCAAACTTAATGAAAAGGGACAAAAGAAAATATTCTTCATGAATCTTATAAAAATTTTCATGTGGCTCTGAAATATGAAGGTAAATGCATTTCAGTAGAAATCTTTTAAACAAGTTAACATTACTTCTACAATTGTGTACAATTATATAATTACTTAGGCAAATGCTTACATCACTTCGCTGTATTACTGCCCCAATTTTGTTTCCCTTGGCATTAATGCTTAAGCCATGTTATAATAGTTCTCACATCTTTTATAAAGCACATATGCTGTAGCCAGTCTTGACCCCATACAACTAATCTTTTTTGCTGCGCTTGCAGTACGGGCTTCCTAACTGCCTTTCATCTTTTGAGATCCATCTGCCTTTGAGTCTCATCTGACTCAGGTGCTACCTAGGGCTGGTTTCTCAGAAGTAGACTGCCAGGCCTTTCTTCTGAGGCAACTGTCAACGTGAACTTCTGTTGTTTTTTTTAAGCAGTCAAGATCATTAACTACGTGCACCATCATGGATTCCTGACTGGACCCTCATGTTTAGGGATGCAGCCCGTCTGACCACACAGATGACAAGCCTGGCTTTAGTACCAGATGTTCCCAACTCTAAAAGCTGTCATAGCCCATGCCTCCCTCTCCACCTCTCCTCCCTCCTCTCTGCCTCTGCCCCTCTTAGCAATATGGGGGTAATACTAACACCCTTGCCATAGAATGGATACGAGAATAAGTAGAGACAATGCACATAAAGAGTTAAGCTCAAGGTCTGGCTCTGTTAGGGGATGGATAACGATGATCTCTGTGTTAACTGAGACCTTCCACGAAGCTGTCGTATCTGTGGATGACATCCCGGCCCTTGGAATCTTGCCAGAATGAAACGCAAGCATACCTCGTCGGGGCATCCACTGTCCACCCAGTCCTGCCGATGGCGATCAAATCCACTGGAACATCTTGGAAGAAGAACACGTGGCAGTTCAGAACAGAAAGTCTCGTGGGTTAGGGCAGACATTCAAAGAAAAAGACTGGTAAATAGATCATTCTAAACTTTTCATTCTAGCACCATGTAGACTTCCTTCTACAGACCTGTTAAGGGAGCAGCGACTTCTTCACAGTAACCTTTCAGAGCTCTCTTCCTGAGTTCTACTAGTATTATGGTCCATATTCCCACCAGTTGCCCCCGAGTCCATTCTGATTCATAACAAACCTACAGGACAGGGCAGCACTGCTCCTGAGGGTTTTTGAGATAACAAATCTTTATGGAATTAAGACACCCTCATGGTTCTACAGCAGAGCTGCTGGTGGGTTTGAACTCTTAACCTACTGGGCTCCTGTTCTCCCACGTGGTGACATTTCACTCTGCAGAAGCTAACGACAATGTGCAGCCTGAACCCTTTGACAAAGGTGACACCAGTCATTAACCTATGAAGCTGCTTCTCTTTTTCCTCACGGTCAAAATGAATGGGCACATTTGTTTTGCAAGTATAGTTTCCCAAGTTTATCAGATTTTTATTTTTCCTTTTAATTTTAGATGGCGTATTATTACACAGACACATTAGTCATACAAACTTGTTCTCTAGAATTATCTCATGTTGTCAAAGGTCTAATTCAGCAAGTGAGGTATTTTCCTTCACTCATATTCTCCTCCTTTACTGAAATCATTTTTGTCTAACCCTCCCCATTTTCCAGTTACAGCTCATTTTCAAATTCCGCCCAAAGCACATTCTGATAAAGCCTCACAATCACTGTGATCACACCTTATTTAACCACTCAGCTTTATTTTGAATGTACGTTTCCATGTGCTCATGTCTTCTATCCCAAAATGGGCTGTGAACTTGTACTATGAGGGTCTGTGACTCACACTAGCCTTCTCTAGACCGTGTGCTGTAGGACTGATTGTCATATTGGATATTTAAACTGCGTTATCAGTTTATGAAAATTAAAGGCTGTCGATTACCCTTTCCTTTTCATGTTTAATCTTAGTATTAAAAAAGATTGCATATAGACATGTGGATATGATACAGCTATGTGAATCTAAATAAATTCTTATACTTTTACAAAATAAATGGAAGCCATTCAATTTCTGTTTTGTATTTGCCCATTGGCTTCAAAGTGCTACTTAGCAATCTTTTTTGTTATGCATACTTCTTTTGCAATGAGTTCACAGGGTGGCTTCTTCTGAGAATCCTATCCAGGGATTATGTACCGTGGCATGAATGAACATCATTTAATTCAAGTGGAATGTGAAAACAACCGACTGTCAACAAAGAAGATCTTATCTATCCTCTCTGGACACGAGCCATTAAAGCTCTGCGCTTGTCGGCCTACCATCTGTGTTTAACCAGCTTAAGTGTGGAATAAATGTCCGTGTGTGATTTGGCATCCGAAACTTGAGATTCCGCAGTTGGTCAAGGCCAGCTCAGGTTACCCAGTGAGAGTCTGACTGTGGAATCTAATTCCAGAAGAGTTAGATGATGGTCCCTCATCTCGTTTCTCTCTTTCTTTCAGGTTTGTTTAACTTTTCAAGAATTTACTGACATTCACAGTAAGCAAGATGGGGAAGTACGAATTTTTGATGCAAAAATATTATTTGGGAGCTATTTGTACTGTATATACTCAAGTATAAGCCGAGTATATTTTCAGCACATTTTTTTAACGTGGTTTTTGTGGTAAAATTAGGTGCCTTCCCGGATATTCGGGTCAGCTTATACTCAAGTATAAACAGCAATTAAAATGAACAGGTGATTTTTAAAATGCAGCTTGTTCTCGTTAACTTCATCTCAGATACATACCCAAAACCAATCAAAATAATCACTGTTATCTTATAATAAGGTTATCCCAACTCTTAAACTTGTGGGTCAACTGCAGCTTGATCGTAGTGGTATTAGTATTTTAATTCATTAAACATTTCACATGGAAGGGGTACAGAAACACGACAATTTGCTAGGTTTACCTACGAAACCCCCCAGTTCTAGTGCGTGTAATTATATCCTTCTGAAAACATGGAGCTTAATTCAGTCATTCATGTTCGATTCCCTAATAAGCAGTCTGTCACTTCAGTAATTGGTAGAGTCTGAAGGAGAACAACTGAACACATACAGAAGATTTGGTCTTTTAATTTGATAAACCAATTAATCTAGACCTTGCCTTCTTGGCATTTTTAAAATAACTGCATAAATTCAATAGCACCTAAAAGCAAAGATAACCAAATGGCGTGTGTGTGTGTGCATGTGTGTGTTTGTGTGATGTTGTTAAGAAAAATCAACTCTATCCACTCTCAGGAGCCTAAATAAAAATACTTTCTTCTTTCCATTGAGCTACTGCGATGCTTCTCTATAACCCAATGGCATTAGCCAAGTCATGTTCTAGCATATTGATTTCTTATTTCTGAACATTTAAACCGTGTTTCTGAAAGAGACTCTTCTACATTGGAGTCAGCTAGGGTGCCTGTAAAAATGCAAATTCCTGGGTCTAAGTGAATCAGAAAAACCTAGCAATTGGCACAGAGCTAGTTTGATTTCAAAGAAGCACAACAAAGTGATGCTTAACATGTAAAAACGACTGATGTAGCTTATGCTGACTATGACTGGTCAGATGATAGCTATTAATTGTACAACACGTATTTATTCAATCTTTATGTGATGTTTATCTCTATGTGTTAAAGATGACTCTATTTCTTTCATCCGAATATATTGCCCTCGCAAAACAAAAGATATTCCTGAAACCCTGTTTACAAATGAGTTTGATGATGTTCTTGGGCAATGGATGTGCAGCCAATTGATTGCTCTTCCCTGTGTAAGCTATGCTTTCTCATGACTCTGACATTGAACATACCATTCATATACCTAGAATTGCTTCTCTTGCACTAAATGGCAAACTCAATCTCAATTAAGCTCATGTTCTACTTCCTCTGAGAAACATCTCTTCTTCCAACCAGAGCAAAGTGAGCAACTCTGACTGGCTGCGTCATTCATCCTGGGTGAATGGGTTTTTGATTACATTACAATTGCTTGCTCTTTTATGGTTGAGTGTAAAGTTCTGGAGCCTTGACTTAGAACAGAGGTTCTCAACCTGTGGTTCGCGACCCCTTTGGGAGTTGAATGACCCTTTTATAGGGGTCACCTGATTCATAACAGTAGCAAAATTACAGTTATGATGTACCAATGAAAATAATTTTATGGTTGGGGGGGTCACCAAAACATGAAGAACTGTATTAAAGGGTCGCAGCATTAGGAAGGTTGAGAACCATTGAGCTAGAATCTCAGCTTGTGTATATGTGATCTTATAGTTTACAACTGTTTTCTCGATGATAAACTGGGGGTTGTATAAGAGTTAAGTCAAATATCTCATACATAGTAAACTTCAAGTCTGGGGCTTTTATTCTTTATGTATTCCCTAATTTATCGATGAGCACATAGCTTTTGAAATATAGACAATAACTATTTTTAATATCTAAAAGTAATGTCTTACAGTATGCATGCTGGTCCACAATTGTTGAACACTGAATAAATGTGGTCTTCAATTTTTTCAACAAAATTTTAAAAATGTGTATGATATCTGTGACATATTAATGTGAGATGCATTTTATACTACAACATCTTGTGCCATCGTAGGAAAAAACAAAAACAGAAAAAACAAACTCACTTCCATTGAGTTGATTCCAGCTCACAGAGACCCTATTTAGGGCTTTTTGGGCTGTCGATCTTTACAGGAGTAGATAGCCTCATTTTTCTCTCTTGGAACAGCCGATAGGTTAGAGCTTTGGACCTTGAGGCCCAATGCTTGCCTGAGAGTGCCACCAGAGCTCTTCTGTCATAATATATATGACCATTAATAATAGTATGCATTTTTATGAACGAATACTGAGATGCATACTTTTACACACTTCAGGTATGTCTTTAATCAACATGTGTGAGTTGTTTTTGTTAATATTCCTCAAACATTGATTTCACCAAAGATGGAGCTCTTCCATGCACTAGCTTTCCAATGTTTCCATGTTCATGTTATTCTTTTCTCTTACCGATGACCTAATTCCAAAACAAGTTGATGGAGTGCTATACTTCAAATTAATTGTACCATTCTCCACTCAATTTCAGTGGGATGTTGATTTCAAAGCCTCTGGGGACCATGGTAATTGAACACTATTAAACAAGGCAGACTAAAAAAACAAATAATATTTTCCAAACTTCTTGTGTCGATCAAAATAAAGAGATTGAAACATAAATGTCATCCATCTTTAACTTCACTGTTTTGTAAACAGGGTTGCAAAAATATCATTTTTTTGAAAGAGTAACATCTTCAAATGAAAATACAATAATTTTTAACATATATATATAAACACCACATAAAGATTGAAATAAAATACATGTATTACAATTAAATACGCATCATCTCACCAGTCACAACAAACATCTGAAAAATAGAATTTAGAAAAACAAAACAACAAAACTTTACAGTTTATTTTAAAGAACCATTTAGTGTATAGATCAAGGGTAGCAAACTTATCAGGTCAAGAAGCAGATAGTACATTGTAGGGTGAGCATTCTCTATGGCACTAGCTCACCTCTGCCATTGTAAGGCAAGAATATCAGAGATTTTCTGTAAATAAACAATCATGGTTTCAACAAAGACTTAGTTTTTTAGAAAGATTAACGCAAGCAGTAGGTAACATTTGATCCCAAGTGTCATTTTCTGCCATCTGCTCTAGATTATTTAGGAAGAGGAAGATCCAGAAACTGATCAAGACTTCCAGACAAATACCTTATTGAGACATCTGGTGATTGATATGGTTCCTGCATCCTGAAGTATATTTATCAGAGACGCCTGGTATTGTGGTGGGTTCTGCATTGAGCTTCTGACCACAAGTTCAGCTGTGTGAACTCACTAGCTGCGCTGTGGGAGAGAGATGAGGCTTTCTCCTTTCATAAAGGGTGACAGCCTCAGGAAGCCACAG